TCTTTTTATTTATTTTTTTTTATAAATAAATGGAAATATGTCAGAAAGACAAAACATAATTTGTACAAAATTGCATTCACTGAAACGCTAATTCATAGTACTTTTTTTTAAGAATGATAAGCGATGAGATATTCAAATGATGGAAAACCTTACAGTGGGTAATATTTAAGACTATGGGGCTTTAATCTCGTTAAGTTTTTACTACTTCATAAAGTGTAGCTATGTAAAAACAGGTAAACGCCGGACTAATTCTAGGAGAACAAAACCCCATTAAACTAATGAAAGTCTGACCAAAGAACAAAACTAACATTATTAAAATTTGGGATTCAAATAAGACTGTTTTTGTGGATATTAATGGGAACTTTGTTATAATTTACAAGTATTTACCTTTTTCCTTTCATATTTTCCTTGCAGTTGTGTTTCAATTTATGACAACACTTGATTTTGTAAATTTCTGAAGTGTTCACTTCAGTATGTCAATGCTTACATTATATCCCTTATCTAGGATCGTTTAGAAAATGAATTGAAAGCCAAACAGGTTTAAAAATTTTACTTGTATTATAGACAGAAATTGAATTTTATGGTCATCTTTCGACAATTTTAATGATGTCTATAAAATATGACAAAGACTTGACACGCCCTTGTGAATTGTTGACCTTTGAGAAAGACCCTCTTCATCCAGACGGCGCTGACGGCCATTGTCTTTGACTGGTTCCCCTTGTCTAGTGACGTCCCGAGATTTGCCATCTGATTTATAGCAATATTGTTTATGTACTACACTTAACTAACAGTTGGTAAATAAATATAGACACTATGATTTTGAAAGAGTTCGACAAGGACCCTCGTCTTTTATAAGGCTTTCAATACCTCTTCTATGTGTTTTATGAATATTATGCCATTTAAAACACTAAAAATCATTGAAGTCATAAAGTTTCAGGTCCATCTTTTTTTAAGAAAGATGGTAATGAATAAAGTCTTGATTATTGTTCATTTGATTTGTTACTTGAGCAGACTGGCAGAAAATCTTTGAAATATGATTAGTTGGAGTTGTTCTATTGTAGTAGTAAATTAGGATGTATACCTGAGTATTGTCACGGTATAGAATGAAATATACGAAGATAGAGAACAACATTAGCTTAAAAGTCCATAAACAATACAAAATTGGAGCAGAGCAAACACGGATCTACAAGACATTAGAGATGCATGGAATCGGTTGCCGTAGAGGATTGAGCATTCCCTGCCGACTTGTCACATCCACTGTGTGTCTCATGATGAGGGGAAAAAAGAAAAAATCCGTCGACAATTACTGTGTATATAATGGCCTAACAATGAGTATGAAAAACGTCAGTCAGAACTGGACTCAATGATAAACTGTATTTGCTGACAAGGTCATTGTATCGACCATAGAACTTAGGAGATGATGACTTTGAACGAGACCATTGATATTCTCATTTCAGCAATTTGTTTGTCATTAATTTACCTCGTTTTTTAATCTGTTCATACATATCAACTGAGATATATAAACCCTGTATGCAGGCGATGAAGGTATATTGCTGCATAAGTAAGGGAAGTTGACGATTGAAGTCATCACGTTTATCACAAACCTTGCATGGTTGTTAAGTTACCATTTATGTCTTTTTCAGGTTAAATATCTAAATATTAAACCAATGTATCAGACTCCATGGTATCTTTTATTTCAAACTCACCGGGATATATCGTATCGACATAAGAATGGAAATAATCATTGTTAATTGACACTACGTCGTCAATTTACATGTATCTAATGTCGAGTAGAAGGTCACAGCAAGTGTTTTCTTCTTTTCCCATATAAGATTTTAGACAAATTCTGCTTTGTTTAAATGCAAAAAGGTCTGCTTATAACGAAACACAATTGGTACCCATGGGAACTCCAGTTGTTTGTTGGAAGTGTTGGTCTCCAAAAACCACAAAGACAATGTCAATCAGAAACTCAAGCATCCTTTTAATAACAACTTCAGAGTACTTGTGTGTACATTTAGAATGTTTTTTAAACAAAATAATTTTGCAAATAGCCAATGACAAGGACACTTACGAGTTCCATATCATATATATTTCATCAGAAAAAAAAAAAGAAAAAGAAAACCAGAGGCAGGAAAGAATATTTTCTTTTTGAAGAAAAAGAAACATCAATTAATGCAGAACATAATTAATGTATATTTATAACCAAATACAGTGCTATGGTCATTCATACTTGTAAACAGTAAGGAATAAAGCTGTATGTTTAACCGCTTTTCCGAACTTCAATTTCACTAAGACAGAATCTCCGTATTTATCGAGAACGCAACCGGGAGTTCACTGTACATGTATGAACTTAAACAGGACGGAAATTAAAATATAACAAGACCTATGGAAAAAGTTACATGTAATTAACGTTCGCAGCGTAAAAAGTACATTTATGGTGAAAGATTAGTATAAATTTCCTTTTTAAGACAAGAAAATTTCATAAATTTCAAAAGCAATATTAATGCAATTGAACGAATTGTTCAAATTGAAAAATCATATTCAAGTTTTAAATTCAAATGCAAAAAGCAAAAAAAAAAAAAAAAAAAGTTATTCTATATTTGGTTTCTATTTGTTTACTGAGAACCCCATCTATAATATCTGGTTTCCTATTGGTTAACTTGCCCTCTTAGTATACATTAATGTTAAATTATAGCGATGAGGAAGCCATTATAGGTTCAAGCACTGTGACCTCACAGTAAAGGAATCCAATAATTATATTTGCCTGTCTCATTGATTTCGTTAAATTTAAGGGAGAACATAAGCTTTATACCTTGCCTCGAACTTTACCTAATGCAAAAATAAGAATGATTTATCAGACTATATTTTATCTCTGGTCTACGAATATAGTAAAACCCTTGGGTCCATTAGTAGCAATCTATGCTTTGTAATCGACAAAAAGGTACGACATGAATTTATTGTTAAGCATATTTTAAAGAAAATTGATCTACAATAAAACAATAAATCACGATAGTGAACAAAGAACTTTATTTATTCCCTATTATCCGGAATCTCCTTATAAAGGGTATACTAATCGACATTCCGCTATTATCAGATTAAGAGAATCAAACCCCTAAAAAGGGGGAATGCTGTCATTTAATTCTAGAGATGCTGAAAATAAATTAAAGTGAATGGTTTTTCAGATAAGGTTGTGCAGGAGCAAATTGTAAAACGATGACAACAGTGTCGCCGATATAACTGTCCGCGGAGGCGCACGAGACGGCGGCCATATTGACATTAGTACACTAGATGGCGTTGCTTGTTTACGCATTGTCTATTGGGCCGTCAGCGATAACGACTAGGGGATGTAAAATACCGGTAGTTTTTGTTTACTAACATTTAGTATTGGTTTGTAAAACGACGGATAATGAAGGTAGTTCGTTATAAATTGTCCTGGAGTACTGAATGAGGTGACTTTATCTTCGTTACTGACGCACGCCTAGCGGTCCTCCACCATCCCGGAATGTCGAGCGTCCCTTCGCTGTCTTCAAGACACTGGATTCTAGATCGTTTAAAACAATGAAAGGTTAATTACTTCAAATCATAAGTAAATGTAAGCAGATTAAAAAGCGTTTACACAACCTCCGCAATTGAGCGTCTAACCAACAGATTAAAAAGAAAAAAATATGGAAGCACTGAGAGTAATAGAATTCCAACAATTTTGTTGGAAAAAACGTTACGATGTTTATATTTAACTTTATTGTAATGCAAAATTAAAAGCTTTGTCGACAAAATAGAAAGCCTCTCTTAGAAGGAGACGAGGGAAAAAACTGTATTTTCTATTTTGTAAGGTACTATAAATTTAGAATTACTGAACAATCACCATAAAGATATGTGTACGAGGCAATAACACGAATGAATTGTCAAGAACCCCCAATTAAAATATTAGACATTCTATTTCCGGTCGATACTTCTTGGCGAGAAATGGTCATTCAAGTTACGGCGTTTCTCCTCGTGTGAAGCTCCTCTCATGGGTCTCCTAGATTTCGGATGTTTGGATCACACTTGTATGTATTCTAACGGCAATACTGGTCTCTTAAATGCCGATTACATGCAGCAAAGTAAATATACGTACACGATAATCTGAAGCTATTGCCATATTATAAATTTTAATGGTTGTGCTTGTGGTTTGTCACAGAATTTCGAAGCTGGTACGAACGATGGCGTATAATGTCAAATGCGTATAGGAAAAGGAACAATATTCATTGACTTTAGTTAGCTGTCAGAGATTTGTAATACAATATTTAAATTTATTATCGACACTTTATCTAAACAATTATACGAATTTTAAAAAATTATGACAAAGAATTCTAATTTAAGCACATTAAATTTATATTTAGGCATCTGACACTTGGTTGCACTTTTAGACCTGTGTGATACATGATTTCGCAGCATGTAATTTAGCATTGTACAAGTTGATATTACTTATATTTCAAGTATCATATATTTACAATAGCCCCGTCAACAGCTTCCTAAATTTTCATCAATGTCACATTAAGATGTGTCACCAACTCTCAATGCTGCTTATCCCATTTTTTCCGTCTTCAGACAATTACTATGAAGTTTTTTAGCTCTTGTTTCATTATTGTAGTCACATGTCATCATTAACATAAGATTTCAGCCACTCTTGGCTACTTTAGTCCGTCATTTGGAATCACTTACTGTAGGACATGGAAATCGGTCCATTCAAGAGGCTTCCCTGTTGTTTTTCGTTTCGCTTTCCTCATACATTATGAAATATTGAGAAAAATACTCCACAATTAGTATATAGGTTCTATATGTCAGTTCACATAATACAATAATCTATTCAAAATTACTTGTGCGCAGTTAATATTGAAAGAATCTTCCGCCTTCTCCTATATTTTTTATCTGTTTGCACTGCAAAACAAAGAACTCCTGATTTCAATATGATTTCTTAAATTTTTTTGAAAGTTTAAAAAAATACAAAACAAAGCCAGAAAAAAACATCATATCTCCTTGGAGTTTTATTTCAGTAAAAAATATATAAATGAAACAGTAGTATTCCACAATTCTACATCGTATGTTTGCTCATTTAGTCATAATTATTGCATAGTTTGATGTAGTTTGGAAAGAGGAAGACCGGAAGTGACAATAAATACAAAAAACTAAGAATTGCACCATTCGTATCGCCACTCATGCAGTCATTTATAGTCAAATCAAAATTCTCAATTCATTTCGCTTCAAATATATATTTGAAACTTAACAATGTGTACCAGGAGAAATTCCTGATCTACGCATCTTTTAAAGGAACTCTTCTGTGCCTGTTCAATGTTTGAAACTTCACACAGGCCGAATTCACAAGGGTGTTCGCTGATTTATGCCTGACACCATTGTGCCTCCACTCTGGATAGTGTTCACACGTAAATTCTACACTTCTCGCTATTTTTCCGTGGTTTCGCTCTCTACATCTATTTCATCGTCACTGTCCTCCATATCAAAATCTTCCTCGTCCGAAGTGCACCTGTTCCTCTCCTCTGAATCGTCTGCTGCGTCACTTCCGCTCTTTTCTGCAGATGTTTCACTTTGTTTCTCGCAAGTTGGTGATTCCTACAGAAAGAAGTTTTTGAAATGACAATTTTCTTTTTGGAAAATATAACTTGTTGATATCTTCATTTCAGGATATATAAGTAAACATTTACTTAAGAATGACATACCTGTTTTAGTCTTCTCCATTTAGCGCGTCTATTTTGAAACCACGTTTTTACCTAAAATGAGAATTCAAGAGGAATCTTAGAAGTAGTATATACTTTCATATTATCTAAAGGTATTTCATTTCAGAAGCCATGCCGACTATACATTGTTTTTTTTCTTCTAATTTATGAATTAAGATTCTTTTTTTTCACAAACTTTTGAAATAGTTCATGTCTAGTAAGTGATAAAACACTTCAAAATTTTCTTATCACTGAACTTTCTAGCATTGTATATTTTCTTCATTAATTTGTTCGCTAGCTTGATACAGAAAAAATGTTCATCGATTAAACGAAATGTATTACCCGAATTATCTTTTATAAATCTTAATTTAACTACAAGTTAAACAAAACTTTTTTCAATAACGTTAGAGTGCCTTTGTTTGTTGACGTTGAAATGCCAGGTCTTTTTATCTTGAATTGGTGCAATTCAAAAGTGTCACCCAATCATGGGACTATGCTACAAGTCAATTAAAGGCGTACAAAACAGCTCTACCGAGGGGCTCCCTCAATGTACGACATTTCGCGTGTACTTGCGAAAATTCACAGACGATGAAGTCCCTCGGAGAGTGATTGAGGGGGTTATTTTGAAAAACAAGTCAATAATGTCCTGTTTGTTTAAAATTTCATTATCGAAAGTAAAAGTACTTGGTGAAATATTGTCAATTATAATACACAACAAGAAACACATAATTCAGGCTAAGGCGCAAATTAAAAAAGCGATTGAACTTTGACGATATAAAGGGCGTTTTAAATTTCATACAGTGTTGTTAATTTTTGCTTTTTAGGATAAAATTGTTTCTATGTGGATAGCCCTTGTACCTTTTATTGTTTGTTGAAAATCAATACATGTAAATGGTGAGAAAAATAAGCATGAATTCTAAATGTATGGTGTTTTAACAAGAATTTTGCTAACTTGGACTTTATCATTTACAAAATAGGTTTACAAATATTTAATATCAGCACGAAACATTTGTCATACGCTTATATAGATACACATGTAATCCTCATGTACAAATGGTGAAAAAGAAATTTGAAAAAAAAAACTTTAAAATGTTCAGATTATTTAATCAATTTTTGCGCCAAGTTTTTCGAATGTAACCGCTGTATATTTTTTTTTCATATTTTACAAAAATAATTCAAATAGTGATAATTATTTATATTTCTTAAGAAAAAAAATATTTTTTGAATTTGATTCAAAGTACGTCACATATTTTTACCTGTCGTTCTGTTAATTGGAGACTTTTGGCCAGTCTTTTTCTTTCTGGCGGAGACAGGTACTTGTGAGATTCAAATTTCTTTTCTAGTTCTACTGTCTGGTCGTTAGAAAATCTCACTTGTCCGCCCTTCCTCTTATGTAGAGGGCGCTGCATAAAATGGTTCCACAGGAAAGGTTTTGGCATCACTGAATAATAAACAGAATATTGATCATTTGTTTACTATAAATATCAGTCCTATTGCATGATATTTAATTGTTATAGGTATCTTTCACCGAAAAAATTGCATATTTACATGCATAAATATATTCAACGAAACAAAACGAAAAAAAAAACACCTTCTCATTCACAACCATGCAATTGCCTTTCTGACCAATACAAAAGAGAAAACAGTATGAACATGCAGAAGATATTTTTTTAATCTACAATTTTTAATCTATCTTTCTATTTGCGAGACATTGCATTATATTGGTGAACAAATATATATTGAAACGATTTCCCCCATATTTAAAAAAAAACAACTATAAGCGAAAGTTTAAGATAAATTTCATTTTAAAAAAATCAACTGCTATTTTTCATAAAAGTCATGAGAAACAATAATTTTTATTTTTTACAATGCAAAGTTCTCAAACTTTGTACAACAACCTGATAAATAATGAAACCATACAAGGATCGTTGATTCAGTTTGTATCGGATAAATTAGTACTTTGTTCCATACTTAAGTGTAGAGCATATGATATCAATTCAGACAAGGAGTGGTTTTCTCTTAGTTTTTGGTCACATGTATATCACGTGGGAGTTAACACTCAGACGCTTGCGCATGATGCTACAGGTTTACCAGGGACATGGATTTAATAAGCTTACTCATATACATGTATGAGGTGAAGCATAATTAACTTAGTGCTCATCAAATATGAATGATACATGTGCAGATCAGCTTTAGATCTATAGGGAGGAGAAAAAATGTGGAAGACAGCTTTAAAAAACGCGTGAAGTTATACAGTTGTCAAGCGAGAGACCTAATAAAATTGCTACTCTATGATATCAGCAAATTGCATATTATAAATTAAAATACCCTGGTATAACATTCTTCATGCAACAAGTTAAAAAACAAGTCAATTTGAAAAAAAAAGTTTTGTCAATGGAGTAATTTTTGGAAAGCTAATTCTTAATTTTTTATTCGTTTGAAACAGAATCCGCCTGCATCGAATGAAAGCGTTACCGCTGTGTGAAGCTCGCGCGACTTACAGACTCGGCCGTGCTGCAACTACGAAACTCTGAATTGTCGGGCCATTCATGTCACACGAAGCTTCAACAGGCTATTATACATTCTTATTCAGAAAACAATAACAGTCCTTCAGAAGGCGACAAAGGGGTTAATTAAAGAAAAACCTCAAGTGGTATCCGCGCAAGTTCTTCCGATTGCTAGGTTTTCGGAAGGCTGACAATGGGGCCATGAGGGGTGCTCAAAGTCCCCCTATCCTGCCACAAGCTCATTTATTTTGGAATATGCTTCCGTCACGATAAAACCACGAAATAAGACATACAATTGTTTGTATAATTATTAAAATGGACACACGACACCACGGCCCTTGCACAGGAAACACGTGTCGCAGCGATTGTCGATTCTTTCTCTTTAATGTGAAGAGTCTACTTACTTTCCCGCCATCTAAATACCGGAAGCAGTATAAGTTAGACAACTGCAACAAGTTCAAGTTAAATTACTGTAATTGCCACATGTGGGACAATTGATAGCAGAAACTAACAAGAAAGTGATGAAAAACAATGGCACTTCAGCTGCGAGATCTCGTCTTAGATAAGCGAACCAGTTTTTGAAATCGCCCATGTACAGTTTGTGAAAATATTTCTTCTGCAGAGCAAAAAGTCCTGATAAGGCTCTTCAAGTTGTTTATCTGTAATTACCATATACTAAGAATAAACAAAAGCTTTTCTTCCATTCTTGAATTAACACGATTAGTGCATTGATCCCATTGTTTAGAACAAGATCAAAGTGAATTAAACTCGATAGAGCAGTTCTTCGTCTTAACCCACCTTACATAAACGTTGTCTTGTCTCAACACTAAACAAGGCTATTGTTCATTCCGTAAATGACCATTATAACTCGCTTATAGTAGATAACGAACAGAACTACAAAGAGAAGTAATCGGAAACGTCCGCAATCTTGTTTACGGAAATACCTCGGCCATTGATACCCCAGTTTACACTATTGCCAGTTATCGAGCGCTGGTCTATTTAGTCATTCAGACCTTTGTTTACACCCTTTGAGTACCGCGTCTTTCGTCAGAGGGAGCAAGACTCAGGCTCCGGACAGATGAGGGTTTACAAGATTACGGCGGGGATCAGCCGGACGCCGCGGAGGGATTACTACGGACATCGGACATCGAGCCCGATTGCAAATACCAATGTTACTTGGAATGTTCAATTCCAAATTGTAAATAATGACACTGTTTAGAAATTAAGTAGTTTTTAATATGGATTTGTTGCTATTCTGTTGTCGATTGAAATATCCTACTAATATCGTATAGTTTGAAATTTTAATCTTTTTTTTTATTTATGTCATGATAGATTTGCCTTAAATAATATTCAATAGTTTTTGAACTGAAAAAATATCAAATTGATTCAAGTAAGATAATTACTGAAATAATAATATAAATGGTAAGAAAAATATATTTTTCTAATTATAAAGAAATTCAACTAGTTATTACATGTATGTTTCCTCGATGTGTCTTCTTGTAGCCTTATAAACATCAAAAAACCTTAACTACAATATTCATGCAAAGAATAATTTCTCCAAGTTGAAATAAATAAATAAATAGAAATATATAGTTTTGCATTGTAAAAAAAAATTAGATTAATTTATTGCTGGAAAGGAAGCTGCCTAATCGTTACTGTAATCAGAATGCTGATTGGATCGCTGGAACAGTTTTTTGCCTTTGATTTGTCATTTACAGATTACTTTTAAATCATGCTTCCATCACCAAGGGTCTTTTCCGATCCTTGAAATATTATCTAAATATACAGAACCGTTCTTCCTTTGGGTTCACCACATCAAGAGGCGGAAATACATCAATTCCGATGATATTTAGCAAAATCCCAGAAACATTGCCTACACTCGGCAAAAAATCTGTTGAACAGAAAGTCCAGATCGAAGAGATTATCGAAATTGTCCAAACAGAATTACAATAAGGATAAAAAAAAATATTAAATTCATATAGATAAAAATAATTAGGAATTTCTGTTCCCCTGACCCTAGAGGACATTTATTTCTCTTGAATTCTTCAAGGAAATGAATTATTCTAAAGGATATTAAATATTTATGGCATTTTTACACGAGTGGAACAGGATTTCTTTTGTTATATTTTCACGAAATGTGAAGCTTGAATAAAAGAAAAATAATAATTTTTAAAAATATCGAGTTATTAAATTTCAACACTTAACTTTAAAAATTAAATTTTCTGCTAATAACATTTTCTTTGATTTTCCTGCGTTTCTGTATTTTTTTCTTTTTTTCCGTTACACTTCTAAGGCTGTGACGTATAGTTTCATTTGATTGAAACGTAATTTTTAGCGATTGTGAGATTGAAATTTCAACAACATTTAAGGGAAAAAAACTTTGGCAGAATTAGTGTCTAAGGAAAAGTTTATTTTCTCTGTCTCTCTTTCCCTAGCTAATACATGTAACAAACCAGAGAGTATTTTTACGAAATTCTTCGTGAAGGGAATGGAAATCCCGCATTTTGCTGCACTTTTGATATTCCATCACAAAACATCATTTTCACTCTAAAAAAAGTTTTACTTGTTGTTTTTAAAATAAGATATTAGATTAAGAAAAACTAGTAATTATTAGTAATCCATTTAGTCAGAATAGCAAGTAAATGACTATCATGGTTAGTAATTGTAATCATAATTAGTAATAAGGATGAATTCATTTACTTATAAAATGATTTACTAAGTATCAATAGCATTACTTAAATTATAGGAATTGTATTACTTAAAGTTAGTAAATGAACTACTCATTTTTGTTAAATTATTATTACTTAATTTAGAGATAATATGCTTTCTATTTACTAAATTTTATGAATTATTACTAAGTAAATGTAATTCTGAAATTAATTAAAATCTAGAATATTATTACTCAAAAGAATACTAAGTAAATGAAATACTTATCATATTTACTAAAATCGATGTTATTTACTGGAAACAGTGCAAGGTACAGACCCTCTGACATGTGAGTACTACTCACAGATTTCTTTATCAGAGTTCCCTAATTGGGCCCTCTGAATAGTCTACTTCTGATGGAAACAATTATACTTTCTATTTCGTTTGCCAATTTCTTTGTAATTGTTTTATTATATATATCAATAAAACATTTGATTCCAACTTCGAAAGCCTTAAAAATTGAATAAGTTGTATCTTTTTAAGGACCATTTTAAAAATGGTTTTATGTTTCAAGTACTTTTTAATACAGTATTTTTTTTAGTATGACATTTTTTTCACATGAAGAAATAAGAAGAATGATAACTCCTCATCACAAACAATTAGTGATTAGACTACCATATTTAAGTAATTACTGATCTGAATTCTCCTTGATTTAGTAAATAAATTTTTGTTTTAAGTAAATCAATTAAATACAATTCAAACAAGATGTGTTTGTGAAACACCTATGCCCCGGCCTGTATGGCAACATATCAAAGGTTAAACTTTTCTTATATGCAAATTTAAATTATTGGGATTTCTTGCTATCTCCAAGGTCAAAAGGTCAAGGTTATTGGTATCTAATGAAAGGTCTTACCAAAAAAAATACATATGTGATATATGGAAACACTTGCCTCAACCCTTCAGAAGTTATGGTCAAGATTACCAATTTTGAAATGTAAGTCAAACGCCAAGGTCAAGGACAAAGGGACAGATTTGTTGGTACCCAAAGAAAGGTCTTGTCACAAGGATGAACTATGTAAAGTATGAATGCACTAACCTTAATCCTTTTAAAGTTACAGTCAAGGTTTGCTTTTTAAAAGTGGGTATAGGTCAAGGTCAAAGGGTCAAAGTTCTTGGTATTCTATGAATGGTCTTCTCAAAATGATTACATATATGTAAGTATGAAAGCACTATTTCTTACCGTTCAAACGTTATGGCCAAGGTTAAAGTTTTTTCACAAGGATGGAAATCTCCAAGGTCAAGATCAAAATTTCATAGTTGTTGGTATTCAATGAAAGTTCTTTCAACAAAAAATATATATGTGACGTATACATGTCCTGGTATTTACCGTTCAAAAGATTTGGATAAAGAATAAGTTTGGATTTTTTGTGTATAATTGAGTCAAACTTCAAGGTTCAAATTTGGTGATACTCAAAGAAAGGTCTTGTCACAAGAAATACACGTGTGAAATATGAAAGTCATAGCTCCGCTTAATCAAAAGTTATGGGCAAGGTTAAAGTTTCTGCGGATAAACAGACAAACAGAGAGACAGCTAGACAGACAGACGGACACGACAAAAACTATATACGCCCGAAACTTCGTTTACGGGGGCATTAAAATATTAATTATATAGTAAATAGTGGTAAACTGTAAGTAAAGACCAAGTAATGTTATTACTTATATACACAATTTTAAGTAAATATAAATTACTAAGTAAAACTTTTTAGTGTGTAAGTAAAACAATTCTTTAAAATACAAAAATCAAGTAAAACATTTGAATCTAGTAATTGACATATATTTCAGTAATTGATTTTAAATTTTAAGTAAATGGTTAGTAATTATCTATTACTTATCTTTGTTATTTCAAGTAAAAAATGACTACTAAGTAAAACTTTTTTAAGAGTGTTGGTATTCTTTTATTATATCGAAATATCATTTTTATTCATTAATTAAAATACAGTAGTTCACTGTTGAAATGTATTAAAATAATACTTTATTGAGAATGTGCAAACAGAGTCTTACGATAAGCAAAAATGTTAATATATATTACATGGACACGACAATGCAACTGAGTTTGCGACAGGCTATTCTTTTTTTTCGTTTTTTACTATTTTATTATTTTTTTTTATTTATTTTTTCATTTTATAATTCCCAAACTTACAAATAACCACAAAATAATATAGCTGAAATTATCTTTTGAGCCGTAGAACAGACCACGGCATAATCTCATATTTGGTTTGCACAGGTACATCTTTCGGTAATAATTTTTAAGCCATAGAATATTATTCTATGGGTTGATTTATTACCGAAACAAGTGTCTGTGTCAGTATGTTATAATCCTAAACATATTTTGATTGATACACGTAGATAATAATGTGCAAGGGGGAAACTGTATCCTTTCATTAAACATTGTCTTTTTAAAAGTTTTTAAAGATAAATTTCATACTTCTTTTAATCAAAGAACACGCGATCTTTTATTTACAATTCACACAGGATTTCCTACTTTCAAATTCCTGAAGTTCGAAAAATGTCTCGCGATTTTATTTGAAACAAAAATGGCGCACTTTTATTTAAAACAATAGCACGGTTAAAATAAACAAAAACAGGCTTAAGGGTTGTATTTGGACAGCCAACTGAGTCTTGAAATCAAACCTTTATTGTTCTATCTCATCTCTATCGATTAAATCTATTGAAAGAGAAAACACTCGACATTTTTCTCTTCCAAGACATCGACTGAGTTGGAATGTATTTGAATTATGCCAAGCGTCTTGGCGATTTTACGGGTCATATGAATTTGGATGTGAACAAACGTTGCAAAGACTCTCTAGGGTCACACGCATGGTAGGAAAAAAGAATACTAAAGATGTGAATTGTACTTCTAATGCAACAAAAATGAGAAAAATTCGTTTGTGTTTCAATCATTCAGTTCCATCTTGACTGCATGAGAGTTGAATGACTATATTGAAAATATTTAAGTTAGACAGATGAATAATGCGTTGGTATGGGCCTTTAAAAAAAATTACATTTTAGTAAAAAAAAAAAAGGTTGATTAATGCGATTAAATAATAAAGAATAAAAGTTTACATAATAATGCAACAAAATATAATTAAATATAATGGCGTGATACTTAAACAACAGCAAAAAAAGATATGTTAATTTTCTGATTTCTACATCGACTTTTTTCACAATTATAGTTTCTATTGTAAAAATTTGAATCTAATTATGAATTTTGCGTGAGAAGAAGAATAAAATATAAAGATAAAAAAAACGTAACACCACAAATTTTGTAGTTTTTTTTTCAAAAATAAAAAAAGAGCAAGAAGATGAGTGAAAGTTTTATAAATTTACTGAAATTCCATTTAGAAATAAAGATAGGTATAATAGAAATCATCGAAATTTCAAAAATGAACAGTGCAGACACCGTTTGGCTGATGTTTGTGGAATTACAAAGAACGTATAAACAGACATAAGGGTGGTAATGTTTAAAGACTCAGAAGACTCTTATATGGGACATCCCTATTAGAGACCAAACATTATAAACACTAAACAGTATTTATATATTTCAAGGATTATTATACTTCAAACATAAATTGCCATATACATCAACTGAATGAAGTATTAAGTAAGCCTATTTGCTCTTCTGGGTGTTTTCTACCAATATTTAATAGGATATCGAAAAAAGATGGTCTGATGGCCCTCTCTCATTTTAAATCGATTAGCGAGATAGTCTTATCTTGTAATCGTCTTAGCACCCTGAAATGAATGTAGCGGATTAGCTAACGGGTATCTCATTAACCGTATGAATGTCATTTGGTGACTTTCACTCCTTTTTGGAGCATAGGGAGTATTCATTATTCAGTTAATAAGCTGTCACCTTATCATATTAAGATAATCCAAAACAGAACTTTTTTTCTTAATTTTTTGTCCCTTATTTATTTTTGTTTGTTTTGTTTTATACTCTTTTATTTTCATGTCATTATCATGTGATCGGTTTCATTTTTGTTTCTGATAATTGATTCGAAGATTTTATAAGAATTTCTCTAATTTTTATTGCTGAAGTATTCTGTATAGTCGATATGATTTCGGGCACTACAAACTAATTAGAAATGAAAAGGTTTATGAGGAAAACCCTTAGAATTTGGCAGACAAGTCGTTTATGACAATTGAAATAGTAATTGTCTGTAATTATTTCCCCACTTGGTGACTTCTGGGCTCTTGATCATAAAAGGTCTTGATTTTGCGCTCTTCGACAAGAGCAAGAAAAAGGTTTTTTGGTTATTTTTGAGCGACTTCCTTCTGTTTTAAGTCAATTATTTAAACTGATATTTACAATATGGATTCTAAAATCATATTTAAACGATGACTTCAAAATGTACTTGTGTGTAAGTTCTGAAAGAGGGATTCTTAATTTTGAAATATGACTTAATTTTTTTTCTTCGATTAATTCTCATAACTTATCCTCTGTTATTTCTGACGCCTATGGATGTCAATTTCGGGTAGTTTTGGTGCGATATGACTGTCAAGTAAGGCATATATTACCCCTCTCTGGTGTATTTTCTACAATTTCCAGTCTTCTATCTAATTCTGGATTAACCATGAGCCGCTATATCTGTTCCAGATCTTAAGATATTTTAAGTTTGGCGACACAGAGCCAATATTCCTTAGAACAAGGAATTAACATTATTTGCTTTAACACATCTTTTACTGATTATCGGCGCGATGCACGACCTGTGCCTCTTGAACTTAAATTCGTTTGTCCCGTGTGCTGTTAGTTTTTTTTAAAATCGTCGAATTATTTTGTCGGAATTTTTCTTTCTTTCATATTTTTTTCTTTATTTCAGACTTTCTAAAATGTTTTGAGTCTGAGAATTAATTTGATTTTAATTTTAACGTTATTTTATTTATGTACTTTATCAGATAAATTATTGATAGATTTAGATTCATTTTAACTAGCCATCAGAATATTTTGGATATACTTTTAATTAATTTTGTTTCACTTTAAATTCATTAATAAGTAAATACATATAATAAGCAAATAATTAAAAAAAAGTTATAACAAACTACAAAAATAGGTTTAAAAGTAAAAACAAGAGAATATATTTTTTTAATTTCATGGAAAAATATATTCTAACTTTCAGATAAACTTTATAGGTACATTTTTCTCCCTACACAGACACGTGTAATTCATTAAGTTATCGTGATACATGGATTTCATGAATGGCCGACTGGACACAACAGGAAAGCTCTAATTGGATCACTATAATGAATTGAAGCTAGTTCAAGATTTCCGAACATATAAAATTATATAGATTTCCTTCTTAAGCCAAGAATACATAAGTTTGTTAACGGGATTGATCCCATTTTAGCGGTCCTCTTCCGGCGGCGCATATTGGACTAAGCTAATTCCCAACTAATTGGGGAATATTTGTTTACTTCAATAGGACCCGAAGTAGACCTTTGTCAGTTATTGTCGCTTTTGATTTTTATTTATTTTAATATTTGTCATTATTATTTGGTTGAAAGACAACAAATTGTAGATATCAAATCTTTACTTAGCAATCAGCATGTTATAATTTTCAAAAATAAAACCTGAATAATATTGCATTAAATAAGAAAAAAAACTATTTTTGGTATTTTTTTTTTTTTTTTTTTTTTTTTACTATTAGATTTTTTCTTGCAGATCTTAACCTTTTTTGAAAATAAATTTCAATAGAGATCTACAATTTTTGTCTAAGAGAAGTTTTTTAAAAAGAATAAATGTGAGAAGTGTTATAGGAGAGGACAGAACTAATTTCCATGCAAAAAGAAAAATGAAAGGAACAAAAAAATAAATACCTTTTGAAAATGCATGATGGCGATCTAACAGTGCATACTCTGGCCTCATGTATGGCATGGGGTACATGTGACTCATGAGAGCGTTGGTGTAGGAGACGTGGGAGGGAAGGTATGGGGACTGAGGAACAAGGGTGTGATCGTACATAGACATCGGTTTATACAAGGAGGGGGCAGTCAGCACCCCCGGGCCGTGGAGGGCTGCAGGGTTGATGGGCGTTGGTTTTGCAAGTCCACTGAGAGGATTGGAAGCACTTGATGTGGAATTGGGTGATGTTCTCAAAATGTCGTCGATACGGAATGATGAGGACGGTCCCGTGGGTGAGGCCGTGGTCTGAGAGTGAGCGGCAGTGGGTGGGGATGCGGAGGGGTGCATGTGGGGACCGTACAGTGACGTCATGGCATTAACTAAGGCTGAGTGCTGTGGAATCATGATGGAGTCAAAACAATTTACAATCAATTGTCTGTCGTCAACTATCATTCACAAAATTGTTTCTCGTTTATAATGTTTCTCTAGAACAATCATTTAAATATCAACACAATATACCAGTGAGTGTCCAACGAGGAATCAAACAATATCTTTCTCCATATGGTCTTTAGAAAAATAGATCGAACAACAAACAAGACAAGAGCTCCAGAAAAAAAACCTTTCCAACAGTCTTCCAACAGTTGTCACATATCACAACAGTCAATCAGAGGAACAATCGCACAATACACCGTTATAACAATATTGTCCTGTTATACAGAAGTGATACTTTCACTCGTGGTGATGGGGGGCGGAGCTTCAGGAATATCCATTGCCTGTATTAGAGGGAGGGGGCCTTTTAAAGTAGCGTTCTTCCTTCTTTACATTGGTTCTCTCTAATCAGTAAGCAAACAAAAACTGTGCGGTTCAAGGGTCGATTCATAATGTTTGTCGTTTACATACACAACAAACTCGATAAATGGAATATAAAAGTTTGATTTAAATTGAGTAAATATGCAGATTAGGGACTTTGATGTACGAGGTGGTGTTTTTTCTGTCATTATTTTGAGGTGTACACTCGCTGATATGATAATTTTTAGTTTATTTATAAATTATCGGGGCGGGGAAACACTCAAGCCTTTGGAGTAGCTAGCTGGGTCCACGAGAGAAGCGACAGAAGAAATCTAGTTTTCATAATGACTCCCGAGGAAATATTGTGCAGAAGACGTACAATAGTTTCCATCAAAAATACGTATCTGTACAAAAATTAGTCCGTTTGTAATACTTCATGAACTATGAAGTCAGTCCGTATCATCCAAAAGTCTTGTAAAGTATTTCACTCCCTTAAAACAACTGCAAAGTTTCTTCAAGAGAGCTATAAGGGCTTATAATTATGATACAAAGAAATGCTTGAAACCTGCCGAATTTTCTCCGCATCAAATAAAAATTATTTTAAAATTTTAAAAGAAAAATTCTCTTTGTAAATTTAAAATACTCAGATAATAACGACTTGCATCCTTTAAAAGATTACAATAGAAACTATTCAAATTATTGTTGATTTCTACTGTAAAAAATATACAAATAAAATCAAATTTATTAAATTTTAAAGTAATTGAACTTTTATCATACGTGGTAAAATTGATCAAGAAATCATGGATCTTGAAATTATATTTTTAAATTTTCTTTCAAATTAAATCGAAGGACGGACTTTTTTTAATGATTTAAAAATCTGGCGGTCCGTGCTTTTGCACTTCACCATTTAATTAAACAAGGAAATAACCACGAACTATTTTTCTTATATAGATAAATAACCAACAGTTTTTCCCAATTTCCAAGAAAAATGATAATTTATGAAATAGTATATTATGTACAGTAATCGACAGGAAATTATGGCAATAATGGTTGACTTTGTAACGTAACAAATTCTTAAAACACGGAAAAACTCCTCGAAGGAAACCAAATCTGATTACCAGGGTATTGGTCAGAAGTTAACACTTAAAAATGGATATATTCTCAAATAAATTATCATTATTTCTTCACAAAAATAAGAGACAAAACATCTCTTTCTTTCTATTCGGGATAAATAACACATACTTTTTTTCAGAGATCAGCAATATTTCTGATAGATTTGTTTTCAAACAGGCAACCTGAAAAATGTTTACCATCCAAAGTGGGAGAACCTTGTAAGACTTTACCACAATATAAAAAATATATGCAAAACTTTGTAGAAAATTAAATAGGAACAAAGTGGCATATTCAGTCCTATAAACAATACAAAACAGGGAACAGAGCAAAAATTCAAAAATGAGAGGTGGATTCAGGTACCATGGAGGTGTGCATCCCCTGCCGACCGGTCACACCCGCCATATGCACCTTGTCATCATAGGAAATAACGGAAAAAAACGTAGACAATTCACTGTGTAAATAATGGTCTAACATATGAAAACGTGGGTCAGCTTTGGAAAGGTTATAATTGCTGACACTGACCATAAAGCATGCAAAAGGATTATTTCAAATCAGACTGTTGATATCCCTGTTTCATCAATATTTTTTTGTCAATAATTTGCCTCGTTTTAGAAATTGTTCATATGTAGAGCATGTTCTTGCGTATTGAATCAGCTTGGAGATATAAACCCCATTGCAGATGAAAAGGGTACAGTGTACAAGTATATTGCTAAATAAGGAAGAAAGGCTGACGGTCGAAGAGTTGAAGTCATCAAACCTTTTTTTTTATTCTGTAATTTTTTCTCTAAATAGCTTGAACTTTCTAAATTTAAAATGACGTTTTAATTTCGATATAATTTGAAAATGTTATAGTATGCAAAAGGCAGGTTTGCACTCTGGGCCAAGTCTATATATTCAGTAAAGATATGTTTTCCTACCCCCAGTGAATGCCCCCAAAAGTACCTGACCCTACATACTTTGCATCGGTCTAAACCTGGTGATAAATATTCCCTGGCCCATAAAAGACGTACATGTCACCAGCAATTACTAAGATTTTTATTTTCATTTTTCCTTCCTTCCTTAGATTGATTGATTAATTGTATATTTTTTAAAGTTCCTTACAAAATGCGGAAGAAAATACACGTACTTTACATATAGATAGTATATTTTTTGTTTCTTCTTCAGAATATTCAAAATAAAATAATCTTTAATGAGACTGTCATTTATTTCCTTATTTCATGCTCGAGTTAGTTAATTTGAACAAATTCTTACTGCATTTCAATGGAATTTATATATATATATATTTTTTATTTTTCTCCAAGTATATAACGTAAACCATATTTGGATAGAAGCTGCCAGAATTTTTAATGGGCTTAGCTTTAATTCTTATAGAACTTGCTTGTATGGTGAACTAGGATGGGTATATAACTTATAGATAAGTCATTTTTACGAAAGAAGTGCTTTTATGAGAGAAAAGTTTTACAGTCTGCAAAAAAGGGAAAATATTTTCTTTCAGTCGATTGACTTTGTAATACAAAGCTCTTTATGAGTTGTCAATCTAGGAAGATACTTCTATGTGTTTTTTTTATTTAACATATCTACGTATTATCACTGTATGAACCACAAACTTCTTTTATATTTATATTTTTGATCTTTTATATATTTTGAGGAAAGAGATAAAAATCCCTTTCACAACATACGAAAAAGATAGATGTGAGATAAATGTGTTCTAGATTATCAGAATAAAAATATTTGATTAAGGAGGGATCCTTCTCATACTGGTACTAGTATTTGAAAATTAATGAAATTTTTAAAGCCTCAAGAAGACAATATCACTAAGTGACAGCATCAGTTAGATTAGGCATTCTCAGGTCAAGGTCATTTCTTTTCCTTAAGAATTAAAAAAAATCCTGTTGAAATCTTGCTATGTCTACATCTATTTCAAAATATTAAATGTTTTTCTTTTTGCATAAAAGCTATTACCATACATGAAAAGGGGTTTTAAGTTGATATTACAGAATCGACATAAATAATTTAACTAAAATGGATATTGGCTAACTCGAATTTTCTTTCTTTTACTTAAAATTTTCGGATTTTTTAATTATTTCTATATGATTCTTATATTTACGTTTTTCTTCTTTATTAACATATGGTAAAGTAGTCATATGAATACAAAGATACAAAATGACACACACAAAAAAAGAGAGAAAAACATTGTTTATGGATTTTAGCTTCAAATCTGTACTTATATTAACATTTTAAAAAGCTAAAATAATTGTTGTTTATTTAGAAAATCATACGTATTTGATATACTTTAAAACTTTAGTACCTTGTTATTAATTCTATTTACCTTTGAAAATTTCTATATGTCTTTGATCGTGTAAAAATTAAACCTAAATTCATTCATTTGTTCTGTAGTAATTTTGAGAGGCAAAAGACTAGATATTTTCATACGCCACCATTCCATCAAAATATAGTCCCTGCTAGATTTCAAATTCAGCTTACCATTATATTTTTTCTATTTAAAGATGTACAATTATAATGACGAAAGAAAAATACGATCTTTTCAATGTCTTACATCTAAAAAAAAAAAGATTATACATGTATCAGCAAATTTTTTTTTTATATTTCATCTAGTCAGAGACCAGACAAGAATTCCTCCTTAATGTACGCTTTTGTTGTTTTCATTCGTGTAAGAGTGAAAAGACTGGAAGCTGTTAAACAAATGGTGGATATGTTCCATTGTTTGTTGTTAAAGAAAATTTTCTAAAAATAAATAAATACTTTTAGAAGATAAACACAAACGTCTTTCAATCACTCAAGTTCAACTTATTGGAGTCTTTATGACCCTGATACAAAAGAATGGGTTGACCATCCTATAGTAAGGTGCAGATTGATCAATTTAAAGAATACAGGCTTTTCCCTCGGACAAATCATTGACAAATATTAAGAATAAAATCGGACTTCCGTTGTCTCCTTGCTTCACTCCTTTTGTAAAAGACAAAATATCAATTTTTTATGTTACTCTATAGAAGAGGTGAATATTCATAAATTCATAACAAGTACATGTACAATGTATTGAAAACAGTATTCCCTTTCTTTCCTTTTTACTTTTTTAAAAAGTAACATGTCCATTGTTTTGCTGTCCATCCTCAGATGATTCGATATGCAAGAGCATGCTCTACGTACTACGTATGTACAATTTCTAAAACAAGGTAAATAATTGGCAAACAAGTTTATGAAACAAGAATATCACCATTCTCGTTTAAAGTCATCATTTCGTAAGTGCTGTGACATTGTCAGCATATATACAATTTATCATTGAGTCTACTGCTGACTGACGTTTTTCATACCAATTGTTAGTTCATTATTAATACAATGAATTGACGACGGATTTTCCGTTATTTCCCAAGCATGACAAGGAGCACAAGGGGATGCTCTCTCCTCCAAGGCACCTGATCCCACCTCTGATGCTTTGGAGGTCTGTGCTTACTCTGCTCCTTTTTGTATTGTTTTACTGACATTTGAGTTTGAATACTCTTCGCTATCTCCATATATTTGATGCAAAATATGTCAGCTTCAGATTTTCAATTTGTTTTTTCAAAATTTCCTTAGACAAAACATTTGAGAAATTTATTGAAGTATTTTTGTAATCATCGACAAAAAAATGACATTTAAGACTTCTCCTCTCATTATGGGAATATTTACTTTGTTTGTGATCTTTTAAACCCAAAACGTTGGTTTGAACATTACTATGGATATTTTCCTAAATTATAAAGCTAAAAACTGCAAATTGAAGATTTCAGAAGGAAGTATT